TTCAGAGGATTGGCATCATACTGCTCAATTCGAGCGCCAAGGGCATTCTCATTTCAGCAAACCAAATCTCTAATCGGTCAGAGATATTTCAATTGAATACATTTTTGTCTGAATAAAGGTACCAGTTATAAAAAATTCGTTGGAAGAGACTCAATCATGGTTATGCAGTATTCAGGTTTGGCTTATCATGGGATTGATTTACTTTACTATAACCTAACTATCTCATATCCTGTTTGACATTGTGTTTTTAGCATTCTCTTGTAAATTATATCACGGGTTAGTAAGTTAATTTAATTACTTTCCTTTTATGTTTTATTCTAGGAAATCAATGAAGAGTGGCTGGCTGACAAGTCGCGTTTCTCTTGTGATGGACTTCGCCGTCAACGGCTCCTCGTACCAATGTTAATGCGCAGCACCCGTGGAACGCATACATGGCAGTTGGTTAAGTCCACTTGGGAGGAGGCCTTGGCCTCCATTGGTAGTCGACTAGTTGAAGTCGGTCGATCTGGTGCTAGAAATGCTGTAGCTGGACTTGCGGGTCCATTTGCTGATGCCGAGGCTCTTACCGCTCTTCGTGACTTAGTGCACCTCTTTGACTCTGAGTTGATATGTACAGAAGAAAAATTTCCAGCTAACAGGTTAGTATCGAGGTTTATAATAAATGTAATCCGACACGTTGCATTCAGCCTGAGGTTAATTTGCTCCCATATGCTTTGAGTTTTTTAATTACACGTTTATATACGTAGATATTAAGGCCAAGATAATGTGGCCTCTATTTTAGTCTCATCTTACTTTTGACGAAGATAAGTTGTTTAAGCTCGTTTTCGCAACTTGATCGTGCTCTCAGGGGGACTTAGTTGAACGTAACTTGTCTGTTGTAGTTATGAGAATACTCAGCGTTGGACCTTGGACTTAGTTCATTCCCAGACGTTTCATCATCCTCGTATTCACCCTCGTCGATGAATTTTGCTATTCTCAGCATCAGTCTACAACTTTCAAGGGGAAAAGTGACGTCAATCTCTTAGGCTACTTTCTGTCGAACGCTTGTGCTATCACTTCTCTTTCTGTTCTGGAACATCTATTTACTCCCTAGCCTCTTATCTACTCCCGCCATACCACAAGTTTTGACTTGTCTATATTCGACTCTTAATGTGTGTCCTTTTTTGGCGAGCTTAAAGTGGCATCATCACCTGCTAATGCTTTGCTATTTCATCTCAATGTGTTCGGTAGTTTGAATAGACGTGTTGAATGATTTCTTGCATTTACTAATATTACAATGCTCTAATGTAACTAATTAAAAGACCAAATGATTTATGACCAAACCTCAAAGGAATTTGACCTACCATAATACGATTTTTCAATCCATATCTTTTTTTTCCTTATCACAGCGTACTATAGCTCATTAAAGACCAATTTCGTTATAAATTTCGATTGCTTTACAATATATTATTTCTAAGCTTTACTGGTTTTATTAATTTATCCTCTAAGATGATCTCAGTCTTCAATTTTTTTCTTACGTAGCACTGATCTTCGAGCCAACTACCTGTTTTCCGGACTAATTGCTGGCATTGACTCCGCTGATCTTGTCCTTTTGATTGGAACCAATCCGCGATTTGAGGCTCCATTGTTGAATGCCCGCCTCAGGAAAGCATGGGTTCACAATGATCTCGAAATAGCCATGGTTGGTGATCCAGTTGATCTGACATATGAATATGACCATTTAGGGTCTTTTCCTGATATCCTAGAACAAATCGCATCTGGTTCCCATCCATTTTCACATGTGAGCAATTTTTAAATCAGATATTTATTCTGTTGAATTTATTTGAATATCGTTGCTTATTTTGTGCTTGATCGTAAAGCATTTATAATTTAAACAACTCTTTGTTCTCTCTGAGGAAACATTGATTTCGTTATGCATTATTATGTGATCTTGTAGCATTTAGAGTCATCAATAATCATTTCTACTTTAGTAGGACACTAAAAATAATTTGTAGATGCGAAGAATTACTGGGTTTTGATGAAACTCCTGAGGTGATCGAAGGTAAAAAAACCACGAAGGTTCTGTATGGTCACAATCTCCTTTTGGTATATATAAGTTGTTTGGCTTCGTATTCGCAACTGGATCATATTGGTAGGAATACATAGAGGAACGCATGATAATGTACAGCGTCAAACCGATCATTTGACTAATTGTCTGCTATACAATTGTGGTATCTCTCGTTCTGCCTCAGGCTATTATACAATCCTATCTCCTCATATTACTCATTCACTATCACAATTGTTTATTTAAATGTGGCATTGTGTTCCTTTTTTAGCGGTTTTCATTAGAACTCTCCAAACCCCATTCTGGCTTTCTCACCTTTTAATAGGTCTTATCAGTCTCCCTCTTGCTTAGTAGGATCCACCTACCTTTTTGGTTCATGTCCTTCAATTGAACCCTGCTACTCTTTCTTTACTACTTGAAGCGCTATTTCCCACTGGCTTAAGTCCTTGATTGCACGCATACTCCCGATACGTGAGTAGGCCCCTATACCATAGTGTCTTGTGTGCCAACCCACAAATATTGTGGTCCTGCAGTAAAGACCCATGGGAAGAGGATTGCAGGGTGAGGGGTTGAGAAAGCCAGTGTGGGGTTTAGCGAGTTCTCATAAAATCCGCTAACAATGGACACATCATGTCACATTCAAATAAGAATGAGACACAATGTTAGAGAGGCTAAGGGAGAGGATAATTTAGTCATGGGTTTGAAGCCTTTGGAAAGAAATATTTCCAGGCCTGAAATCTGCATGTACATGGGAATCATCTGCTCTAAATACTCAAATATGGCGTAATCCAGGACGGGAATTTCAAGGCTCTTAAGCAGCCGGATTTCAGACTGCCAAACAGTGATTTTGAAGTTTACTAGCGACCAAATGACATGCGGGTAAGAAAAAAGGTAAGGGGCAGAATATAGGTCAGGGGTCTTGCAAACTGCAGCCTGGTACCGTTGGCGTAGAGGATTACGCTTCATTAAACTAACTTTTAGCGACACTTATGTGGCATTGGAGGAAATGAGAGCACAGAATTATGTGAAGAATTCATATGATTTTGTTAGATTAATAGATCAAGTGAGTATTAATAAGAAGGATCTTTTGGTTAGTCTTGATGTGGTATCAATGTATAATATACTCCGTTGTCGCAACTTAGTCAAGTTGTCAGGGCGATTTAGTAGAACGCACCTTGTTCGAATTCGTCTGCCATAGTAGTCGTCATGATTCCCAGCATCAGACAGTAGCCTTGATACATTCTCAAACGTTTCGCCGGCATCGTAGTCGGCATCATCAGTGAATTTTACCATTCTCCGCACCGGGCTAGGAGCTCGTCAAAGAGACAAGTGAAATCAATCCCTCGACAAACGTTCTGCCGAAAATGGCTACATTATTAAATCTCTTTCTATCCTGGCATATCCATCTACTACTCCTATCCCCCTGGCGCCCTATCACAATTTCTGGCTTGTTTATGTTCCACTCGTCAAAATGTGTGCACATTTGTGGCAAATCTAATGTGACATCATCAAATTGCTATTCACACCTGACCTCCTGCTGATCCGACTCGAGCCTCCAATCCGGATCCCCTCATTGTCTCGTAGATCCGTTGCTGGTTGACCGATTTCATTAGTTTTCAGTTCCAGTGTGCATTTCACTCCAGGCGCTATTCCCCAAGGCCCTAGAAGCACGACCACTGCCGCCTCACTGACTAGAGCGCCTTAGTTCTGATTGCCATGCTTGCAGATATCAGGCATTTCCGTTCACGGTTACTCTCGTTGATTAAACTCATGTTATCTGAGCAAACTGTGCATGCCTATCTCTGGTCGTATGCGGCATCTCAAGTGGATTTCTAGTACATTTTGGCCATAACGCCTAATTTCTATAACGGTTTGCTTATCCGTCTGCCCAGCTTCTTGACTGCCAGGACCCCAAAGTTTTAGTGGCTTATTCGAAACGGGCATCACTCACTGACGACGTCTTCGCTTAATTTCCGAATACCCTTGCCAACTTACGTTATCGCAAACTCTTTTTTTCAGGTTAGCGGTGGATCCTTGATCCAGACGTCTCCTTTTTTGCTGATCTTACTCTATTCTTGCTTTCCTTGAGTTTGCTTAGGCAATAGGCAAAGTTATCGCTAACTCTACCTTCACACAATCTCTTGTTCATTAGATTTTTCTCCCCAAGAATGTCAATGGTCTCCCTAATCTTCCGCTTCCTTGTGTTGTCACCGTATGGAGCTTTCCTTTCTGTTGTCTTCTAATTGATCTCGTGTCTAGTCTGTGTGATGTGTTCCGCTAGTTTGATCTTTCGGTATCCATTTTCCTGCAGAGCCTTTGATATTCCTTGATTCGTGTGCTAATTTTTCTCCCTGTTTCGCCAATATATTTTTGTTCGCAGGCGCCGCATGATATACAGTAAATTCTTGAACAATCCTATTTATCTACACTTTCATGTTTACGTCGGTATACTTGTAAAAAAACGTTGATTTCTCTTTCATGGCTATCTAAATATTCCATTTACTCAATATTGGCCGTAGTTTGTTATTTAGCAGGAAGGTAGAAATATCCATTTTTGTAAACCCCGTTCTGCCATCGGCTTTTCACGGCCCGTATGTTTCTTTGTATCACTTCGCTAGGGTAGCCATTGCCGAGAAATATTCTATTCAATTTGTCCGTATGCTGCTGGTGGTCGTGCATCCTTTCTTATGATTGAATTTCTTATCTATGCGTCAATTTTCCTATTCCCATGCATATCTTTCATCATGGTTTTTTTGTCCAATATCACTGTAGCTCCTTTATCCGACTGAAGGACTAATTGTTCATTCGTTTCCATAGTTTTGCGTATCACGGCAAATCTGTTCCTGTATGTAGCCTCCTGATGTGTCAAGATCTTTGGAATTAATTTCATCTCCATTTCCCGATTTGTCTCCTCGGGGAACTTGTCGACGATATTGATAACCTCAACCGGGATGTCTCCTAGAAGACTTCTGTTATGCTGAATTGAAAAATTGAGTTCTTCCTCCAGGAACGCGGTTGTTTCGGGATTTAGAGGAATTCATTATATGTTTAATACTTTCTTCCGATCGCCGTGCTGATCAGTAGGTATTGTCACCTCGGGAGTCACTTCAACTAGGCGTACTGGCTTTAACTTCAGCTGTCTTATAATCCCAATCTTACGCAATTTATCGTCATGCCGTTTTGTTATTAAATCAGAAATCCTACGTGATCTCCTGTCGGTCATGCTCTAGAGTTTTTGTAAATATTCCTGGCCAAATAACGCCGGAGCCTTGATTTAATATCTATAAACTTATACAACTTATAACGTTCTGTATCATAGGTCTCACTTAGTTTTTGAATAGAAGACTGGTGGGGATATACATTAACCTTATCTGAGTGGTAGGGTCTGTTGAGGTCAAAGAAATTAGGAGTGATAGCATATCTTTTACAGCAGTCTACGAAAGTAGGATGGGAAGATTGACTCACGATGGTTTTATGGGGCAGAAGGGAAACTGATAAGACATATAAAAAGAAGATTGAGGGCTGAATGTGTTCGAAAGCCAGCGTGGGGTTTGGAGAGTTATCATGCAATCCGCTAAAAGGGGCACGCCATACCACAATTAAATAAACCACTTAAAAATTGTGATAGTGAAGGAGTGATATGAAGATATAGGATTAGTGAATAGACCATGGCATAAGGAGAGATTGCACAATTGTTCAAAGGATCGGCTTTATTTGTCTCTGATGAGTTGTAGTATTGTACTAAGAATGGCTAGGCTCACTGGAAATGCTGATTACAATGCTGGCGACACGGTCCGACACTGGAAATTATCATGTATACTATGGACTCACGACTAGGTGCGTTACTCTTTGTCTTATTTCCAATATAACCAAGTTGCGAAAACAAGGTCAAACAGCTTCTGTATTCGCTCTCTTTCGTTTATTGTGATGAAAGACTCGTAGTTGAATTTTCCCACTTAGATCTTAGTATTGCTGACGTTTCCATTGTATTTTACATATGTTTGCTTTTCCAAAAGTTGTTATCATCCAAGGTGCACTACGGTTTCGACATCGCCAAGTTCTTATCAATATCCCAACCGGGAGTCGAATCTTGAAAGTGCGGTTTTTACACTCGTCACATTTACTACTCCGTTATATTGCCACGAGTGTCTTTGGGTCACTGGTCAGATGTGAATTTTAAGGGAGGCCAGTATTTCGATATATCACTATTTGTTGGGATTATCGATGGATAAAAACAAATTTGGGAAAAGCAAGGCTATATAAAATTCGATGGAAACGTCAGTTCAACTCATATCATTGTAGGAAAATTCTACTACCAGTCATTCATGACCTTTGATGAAATAGGGTGAATACATCTCAAGAGACTCTAATACGAAACTAATTAATGTAGTCGGTTGCTATAGCAAATATACGTTTGCTTCATCGGCACTCCCACCAAAGAATGTGATATAGCAAAGAGGCCTGACCTTCATTGAATACTATTCATATAACGGATTTAATGGTAGTCTACAAACTCTGCTTATAAACGAAAAATAAAATAATGTGATCGATTAGTATCACAAATATAACTTTGCTTCATCGATAATTTCCCTAATGTATGTGATATGCGAATGTGCTTAGCCCTCTTTTTAATTCACATTTATCTTGTGACCCCAAGGGCACTCTTACTAATACGGCCCAGTGGTTACCGTGTCGAGCTTACAAGCTTCACCGTCATGGTTCCACTCCCGCTGTGAATGTTGGTAAGACCT